GGGGGAATGAATGAGAGTCAGTACAATCCTCTAACGTAGACCTGGTCGTTCATTGTACGCCGCGCAAACTCCCAAATGGGGCATTCTGTACAATCTCATTTGTTCACTGAACCCATGGCACAGGCGGGGTACCGGAAGAGCCCGAGCCACCCCAGATTGGTGGCGATCAAGAGAGCCTCAAGTGTTTTTTCGTGTCAAGGGAATAATTTCATGACGGGATAAAATGCGCCACAGACCTCGTGCACGCCAAGTTTTGCGTCCTGTCGCAATTTCAGGAAACTACACGATGCATCATTAAACGCCTTCCATCAGATATTTTCTTGGGCATGAAAGAGATCGATCATTGAGTACAACCAGACAGACGTACACGTTTCCAGACCTGGGCACGAGAGCCGATTTCCAGGAAGCGGTTGGTGTCTGCGTGCTGCTGGTCGCGAGGCTCCGCTGCGGCGTGGAGGTCGGCTGTGCGGCCACATTCAGGCAAACGCACACATTCGGAGCAGTCTGGCTGCTGCTGGTTTTCACCCTCCCCTGCGGCTTGACGCTCGGTTGTGGGGCCAATAGGTGCGCACATTGAAGGAGAGGGGGGGAATTCTTGGCGAGGAAGACGCTTCCAGGGCCTGTCAGAGCTGAGCCACTGGCCGGCGCTCCACTCCCGTCCACCTTTCCCTTCGGCACACAAGCGTTGGTGGTGTCCCTTGCCGCGCTCCCGCTCACCTTTCCCTTCGGCACACAGGCGTTGGTGGTGTCGCTTGCCGCGCTCCCGCTCACCTTTCCCTTCGGCACACAGGCGTTGGTGGTGTCGCTTGCCGCACTCCCGCCCACCTTTCCCTTCGGCACACAGGCGTTGGTGGTGTCGCTTGCCGCGCTCCCGCTCACCTTTCCCTTCGGCACGCAGGCGTTGGTGGTGTCGCTTGCCGCGCTCCCGCTCACCTTTCCCTTCGGCACACAGGCGTTGGTGGTGTCGCTTGCCGCGCTCCCGCTCACCTTTCCCTTCGGCACACAGGCGTTGGTGGTATCGCTTGGCGCCCGGGGAGGAGTTACAGCCAAGGTCGCCGTGGACGGTGTCGAAAGTCTCTGATGTTGCCGCCCCAGGATCAACAGCAGTCTGCCGGCCATGGCGGTGACGGCCAGCTCCGACCACAGGCTGACGACGATCTTCAGCAGACACAGGAGGCCGCAAGCACAGACGGACAGCCCACGAATCACGGTGGCAGTGGCTGGAACAACCACGGCGAACAACGCTTGGGACAGGATCACCACAACCTCCGCCGTCGCCGCCGCGAGACCGCCGACGTAAGGGGTAAGCACCCGGATGATAGTCGTCACGTTAACGACCACGGCAGACAGCCCGCACCAAAGGGTGGCGAAGAGCCCCGCCGTTGCCGCCGGGAGGCCGCCAACGAAGGAGGAGAACACCCGGATGACGATCGGCGGATGAACGAGCGAGGTACACAGCCCACGCAGAAGGTTGCCCACGAGCCCCACCGTCGCCGCCAGGAGACCGGCAGTGAAGGAGGGAAGCACCAGGATGACGGTCGTCGCGTGGACGAGCAAGGCAGACAGCCCACAAAAAAGGGTGGCGACAAGCCCCGCCGTCGACCCCGCGACGCGACCGAGTGCAGCGAGGAGTTCCCAGAGGAAGGCGGTGGCGGAGGAAGTGAAGGAAGGGAAGGCCAGGGGCAGCACCCAGTATCCTGCGTAACAGAGAGCCGTGAAGGCCCACATTGAGAAGAGGGCCCTCGCTGACGAGCGGCGTTTCTCTTGGAGCTGGTCGGCGAAGAGTACACACGAAATTGCAGAGGTTTGTTTGGAGGGGGTAATGCTCCAATAGAAATACACCTTTCTTGCTCACAAAGCTGTGGTACCTTTCCCGACTCATGATTCCTGACGATGTGGTGCCAAGGCAACGCAACAGTGTATGTAACCCAGGGTAGTTTGGACCGCCTACGCTAGGCGTAACGCGTGCTCAAAACATTCATGCGTACCGCACGTTCAAACGATGAGGTACATGTCGACGCTACGTACCACTTATGGTTAGACGTTCGCCGTTGTCAACGTTGTTTGCATCTAGACCCATATTGGAGGCTTCAGGTTGACGGGACCTACCGGCCTGGCGTTGAGGTTGAGGCTCCGAAACACGCCGGGTGAGGGCGCGAGTCCGGTCGCAAAGTGGTTGACCCCACTGCCGGTATGCCGAGGACGGGTGTAGACGGTGTCAGAGGCACGAGGGTGAACCGGCACGAGAACGGAAGAGCGGGTAAGAAGGGAGCCAATCGCTGCCGTATGCTACGCCGGCTAGACCAAGGCTCATGGGCTGTCCATTATTGGCCATAATCAAGATCGATGGGATGGCACAAACGGGGGGATGCAGTGTCTTGCACTCGAAGGAGGTAGGACGCTGGAAACACGAGAAATCTTGCCAGAAATACGAATATCGACAAGTTGGTGTGATTGCATTTGGTGTGAACTCCAACCTCCACCACAGAGGAAGCTATCGTGGTGACACGGCAAAGAGTACGTCGTCATGGGAACTTGAACATATCGAAGGACGAACCGCATCACACGCGATGCGCACACTCTCAACGTCGCGCGCGGTGGCAAGCTGTCACGGTAGAGTTCCATCTTCTTCAAACCTGCAATAGCCGCCAGCAAAGACCATTGACTGGCACGTTCCAGGCAGCATGCGCTTGATGGACAGGCAGTGTTCTTCGATGCTCGCCATGTGCTTCTTCTGGAAGAACTAGGATAGAAGGGTCGGATAGGGGACGGCAGCACGCACGCATGTTGCGCGATTTTTTCAACTGCCAATATTGTGTTAACTCGTCACCCGACAACTTCGTCAGCTGGTCGGTGGAGCACCGTCAAGCTGTTCAACTGTGCTTGCTGCTTACATTATGATCGGCGGGGCTGGGAATTGCTCGTGATGTAGAATGGTCTCTGGAAGGCTAAAGTATGCCCGTGCCACGCGAATCACAAACGGAGACAGGCACCATACACGTAGCAAGCAAGAACGGGACCACCTACAGGGCCGAGGATGTTCCCACAACAATTGATCAACCCTTTCCCCCCCCAAACATCGTACAAGGTAGGGAAAACGTTGCGTTGACCACGCGGTAAGTCCCGTACCTAGTGGAAATACAAGACTGTGCCCCCTACGTCATGTAAGCCCCGGAACAGCGTTTCTAAGATGACCTTTACCGCCTACCCATCGGTGCAAACACACAGTAACCCGCTGCTTTCGTACTGACAGTAATCAAAAGTGGTGCTGTGGCCGTTGCTCCTGTGCTGGTGCTCTTTGACACTGCTCGATTCCTAGCCTTCTGGGCGAAAACGGTTCTGGACTAGCTGCCGCCGGGAGTGCGGGCGGCGTGGTGTATCCTCTATATAACCTGTTGGTGCCCGAATTGTCTCTCTGCTCGGAACAACTCGCCGGCTCCCATCGGGATGATTTCGTAGTTTCGCAGAACGCAAGCACTCCTCTTGGTTCCCCCTGGTGGGTTCTTTCCAGCAAATAACATTCCCTGCCACCCAGGTACGCTCACAGGAAGCACGTCGGTGCAACCCGAGAATACCGGACAACCTATGCCTGCCTCAGGATTGCAGCTCTTACCCATGCCCCCGCGGCCCCGAAAGCATACCACAAAATACAGAAAATACCAAACGACGCATGGTTATTGGTCTCGGCCCTGATGCTGCTGTAGAACTCTTACCGACGAGTCGTCATTGCCGAGGTCAACCGCGAAAACTGTCACGTTGGACGGCTCGAGGACGCCTCTATCCAGAAGGATGGACAGGGTCGAGGCGGTGCCGATAACCACCTGCGCTCGCACCTCTTGTTGCCAGTCGGGATAGAGTGCTATGGAAACCTGTCACCGTGTCCACCGCACGTGATTGTTGTCGGGGGGGTAAGAACAGCAGCGCATTTTTCGGCGACGAAGTGCTACCCACGTCCACAGACAAAAATATCAACCAACATGACTATGCCAAAGCGCTTGGAATGATGAGGAAGCGCCGCACCGTTCCGTGACGTACTTTCTGCACCCACAAAAGGTTAGTCGCGAACTACGAATCCATCTTTTGTGGTAGTGCCAACAATTTGAGACACTCACCGTCATGGGTGTGTCGGTACGCGCGGCGAACTCGTGGAAAAGCACAGAGATGTCACATTGGTCTTGAAAACTCTGCACGACGAGGAAAACCTGGCACACAAGAAAGGAAAGGGGTTCGGATGGGTGCGCGCGGTTGTTTGGGGGCACTTGAGCGAACGGACGTAGCCAGCCAGGACAGCGGGGGAGGCCGGGGTGTCTCCTCTGTGAAACTGCCGTGGGAGTTTGCGCTTGGGTACAACGTTGTTCTCCTTGAATGTGCTACCGTGTTCGGCCCGTGAGGAAACGCAATTCGTCGATTGGTCAATGCACCTGCGTGTAGTCGTTGCCAGGTTCAAGTCGAGAGAGTACCGAGAAGACCGCGGCCTTCAGGCTCGCGTCGGTACCGTGCGCGTGGCACAGCACGTTGCGGTGCAGCCCCACACGAAGAGCCAGCTTTATGTTCCCGCAAAGCTTGTCCAAGCTTCATAGAGGCAGTCGACGGAGGCGGGAGAAAAGTAGCACAACAGGTGGGCGTCGGATCATCGTTGTAGTATTTGACGTGCGTCTTTGTGAATAATCGAAAGACAACAACAACCTTGTCGAGAGTGGCCGGCATGTTGGTTTGTCTAGAATACGCCCAAGTTCGAACAGCTCCCGGCGCGATCTAGCTTATGCTTGACTCATCTCGTTGTTCTTGCATGGTTTTGTGGAAGTACCATTGAGGCGTTTGGATTTCAGCTATTCAAGCGGGTGAGGCATGTACGTGGACAAGGCGAAGAGTTGGGGCCATGCACATTCGTGGGACCAGTCAGCAGCAACCAAAGCGACGACGACTACCCAACAAACATCCACAGAAACAACACCATGACCGACGGCACGAACATCAACGAGCAACGATGACATCGACATCGATACCAACATCGACATTGACAACGACACCAACACCAGCACCAGCGACGATAACGCGATCGACCACAACGACAACACTATCGACCGCAATGGCGACCACCCAAGCGAGGAGGCTAACCCAAAGGAATGTAGACGTCGGGGCAGGACGAGCATGAGGTTTATCCTGCCGACCAAGTCGCAGCGGAGCTGCCAAACAAACAGGTAGCATGAGGGGCGTGGGAAAATTCAGTGTTAAGTGTAGCCCCGACGATGGTTGGAACGGGAGTGACTGGGGATCGCGATCGTAGAACACACGTCCCTTTTTATCCTTGGAGCCAACGCTTCCAAGAACTCGAATCTCTACGAACCACACGTGGGTTCGTACAAGACCCTTGGAGTGCATGACAACTGATTTGCTCATGGTTTACCAATAACCGAAATATTTGTTAAGGTACATCAGCGGTAGATAGTATACCACATGGGTCCAGGTGATTGATTGCCCATGCTCGATGGGGGGGGCGAACGAAGGCATTGGGCCTCAATCGACGCTTCATGTTTCACCAGAGCGATCCCACTATTCTCTAGAAAGGTTGACACAGACACGGAACACCACCGACGGTGGGCGTACACCCTTGATTATGGGAGCTAGGGATAGAATGCTGTCGTGCGACTTATCCTTGTCTGGAACGTACACGTGTCTACAACGAACAGTAAATGTTTCTCTTCCCGAACGTGGAGACGCAGCAAACACCGGTGATTTTGGTGTGAGGGCACATTGGTGTTCGGACGTGGTCCAACGCTACGTCGCCACTCGCGCACCTGAAGGGTGTTGGGTTCTCCCCACTTGTCGTGGAGCTCGAAGATCCGGACAAGGATTCGAATCGGAAATGTCATGCGGTTGGTGCATACGAAGAAAATCCCAGCTGCCGCCACGTACACCACCATCACCCAGGCCATCAATGCCGCTGCAGCCGCAGCAACCCCCAAGGCCTTCCACGAGACTGATACCAGCTGAGAGGTGAGTGGCAGACGACCACAAAGCACGGTGACCCCGCGTGACGCCCACACCACTGATGCGCTCCATCCACCCGCCTCAGCGATACGGTCAACGATCATCGCAACCAACCCTGCAGTGAATATGGCCGTCGCCGCGCGGAATGGGTGCCAACGCGGTGGCTCCGCCCCGCGCCCTGGAGACCTCTGGTGAAAACCGGTCGAGTTTACCCACGTACCCACGGCAACCATTCCTTTCGTGACTCTGTTCATGACGTCAAGAGTATACGAGCGCATGTAGGCCCCGGAACCTAGCACGAGTGACCAGCAGAAGACCTCCCTCCAGCCAGACACAAAGTTCGCCGCAACTTGCTCTGACACCCACCACACCAGCGCCCTCAGGCCATCGACCACAACGATCTTCGCCACAACTGCCACCGCCGCCGGGCGGAGGGTGTGCCAGTGATACGGCCTCGCCGCGCGTCCTTGCGGCAACCGACCCCGAACCCGGCACATCGCCAGCATCGTCATAGAAATGATGTCGTTCGTGACCATCCTCATGACGCCGAGAAAGAGCGGCATCAACGTGCCCACAACCACCCAGCGATAGTCGTACCACCAAGCATTCCACTTAGCCATATCAGATTTTGATATCACTTTCATGTATGGGCTGGACTCATCGATCGGCGTGATCTTGGACGTGGCCGCAAGGATCGCCACCGAAAGAGACATCCACGTCTCCTCGACGATAGTGAGCCAGGTCGGGAAGTCCACCGCCCGTGCTCGCGACACTTGGTTCCGAGCAACCGAGAACGCCCGCGTAAGCACCGAAGGCACCCAGTTCTTGATCCTGCTCGTGACGTCTGACCGCAACATTCCGAACGCCGCCAGTGCGACGTAGGTGCAGATGCCCCCCGTCCAGGCGGAAGTTGAGCTCACCCAATCACGCTCTGACACCCATGATACCAACGCCCTCAAGCCGTCCACCATGGCGATCTTCGCCACAAGCACCACTCGCCCCACGCCGGAGGGGTGCCAGCGCCTTGGCTCCGCCACGCGCCCGTGCGGCACCCGACCCCGAGCCAGCGACATCGCCAGCATGGCCGCAGCAACCATCTCCATCCCGACTCTGCTCTTGACGGTAAGAACCACCAGCAACAAGCCGACCACAGCAATGCCAAAGTACTTGTATTCCACCCAGGTCAACATGTCCGAGGCAGCAGAAGCGGGTGCTCCAGGCGCTGAATCGCCACGAATCTGAGGTTCGTCATGGGTCGCAACATGGCGAGCTCCGATCCAGCTCGGGGAGGAAGGGCGAGAGAGGCCGTTCGTCATGGCCTCTTCTTCGGGATGATCTCCCTCGGTAGATGCTTCGTCCTGGTTGGGGAGGCGCCGTGACTCCACTTCTGTGCCTTCTGGCCCGTCGTCTTGTCCAGGGCCCTTTTCAGCGGCCGCGTGTGGTGGTAGCACGATCGGTAGGTTCGGGCTGCTTCCGCCGAGAGAGGGGGGGTGGGAGGGTGGTTGGCTTACTGTCGACGGGACCTCGGCTTAGATTGGACCAGAATCGGATTCAGATTTTATTAACACAGCATCAACCAGGAGCAAAGCCTCAGACACGTTTGTTTGCTGCAGGCTGAAAGAAAAATGCCGCCACAGATACTTCCGAGACTATGTATCTAACATCAGGACCACTCCCAGAGTTCAGGTTCCGTGTCACCTGTCGCCGTTGCCATCGACGATCGGGGCGGTCTGTGCGGAAGCGGACGCCAACACGTCACGTTGATCGCTGCCAGGAGACTTCACGACGAGCAAGTCACTGACGTCCTGGCCATCATCCTCGGAGCACAAGGTAGTCGATCCACCGAGCCTGGTTCAAAAGTTCAAACATTGGCGGCAGTTTGGGTAAGAATCAATGTTGCCTGAGGCAGACGACTTCTTCTCAGACGCCTTCAAGTGGAATTTGTGCCTGAGCTCCATGTTGACCAGACCGGACAAAAGAATAGGACACGTAGGGCTCCGATGCTCAACTCCAACAGACGCCTGGATGAGTGTATCATTACTCATACCGACTGAAAGCTCACCCCGTCTTGATTAAACTGGTCCGTATTGGGGGGAAAACACTCACTTACCCGGGAAGGGCAGGGGGGGAAGACTCGTTGGATTCTTCCCTTCACTGCCGGACCATTGCCATCGCATGCGGTTCTATCCCCAGTTGAGAAATTACCATCAGCCGAACTCTCCACACCTTTTACAGCCAAACAAAAACACATGTATTTTCTTGTCCCTTTCCTTGGTGGTTTAGTATGGCCATATGTTTGAGCTTCGAGGCACATGCGGTCGTTCCCGTTGTATCCTTCTCTGTGCATACCAACAGGGGTTGGGGCTGGGATCAACCTGCAGAGAGGGAACGGAAAGCTGATCCACACGCCAAAGGCCATCAATACTTTGTACTGAGATTCCGATCACGTCTGTAGTCCTGAACTGTCAAGGTTGTCGATGTTCGGGAGGTTGGGTGACTGATACAGCATTTTCGCCTGCTGCTTCGGTATTTAGAGTCGGTCGGAGGCGCAGCACAGAACATGGGCGGCCACAATACCGGTGGGTAAGCCCGCGGCACCCTCTTTGCAGTTCACGCGCAGCCCAAAGGGGAGCAGGGGCTGCGTGGAGGTGGTATGAGTCTTCTTCCTTGTCTCCGGGAGCGGAAACAACGTGTCACAGATGCGAGACAAAACACTCGCAACAGTTCTGCTTATGTGTGTGTATTTTCGTCCTATTATTATGGCAACAGTCCCCCCATTTTTTGTGGTGAGACGTGTACTACACTCTCAGTGTAGTAGATGACTACAGTACACTTTTGTTCATTGTTTTCGTTGCGTACAGCTAATTTACAACCATCCAGGGTGACACGGGAGGGGGTAATCATCGTGGCTTTGTTTTCTTTTCAGACGCCCCACCTTCCTACTGTGGTGCACGCTGAATTTTTGTTTTTGATAGCGAGGAGGGTCCAGCCGTCCCTGTCCCTCGTCAACGGTGCTAACGTCGAAATTTGGTCTCACGAGAGTTTTTCAGCTTTTATTGATTTCTTCCACCTGCACAGTTAAAATATTTAACACCATGGGAATTCAAACTCACGACTTTGTCAATCTCAAAGTTGACTCTGAATTTGGCGAAAATTGTGTTAATAGCAGTTTCGAGATTACCACTAGACCACCCGGGCGACCGGTTGCAACGCGTCATTTGATTTCTTCTGCACGGTCAGCACCATCTAGCGTGCAATATCATCCACACTTGAACTCAAATGCAGCATCTCACCTCGCGACGTCCACACCGCAAGGGGCGTCGTATATTGCGGTGTGGTGGTTTTCGCCCCTTGCCATTCTGTCCTCGTCAAGCCCTTCACCAGGGGCGCCGTTGGTACCGGCACCAGGGGCAGTAGCGGGCACCTGGTCCACCGGATTACGTACATCTTGCACCTGTTACTCGTGCAGGGATTGTTGAGAACATCGATGTTGGTAGATAACACAAGAACTCGGTTGGTAGGTGTTTGACACATCCATCCATAGAGGGATTTGTGCGGCACCCGGAAAAATTGCAACACAACCGAAAATGTCACGTAATTCCGTCCAGACATTGCTATCTTTTTATCTCTCTTTTCCTCTTTCAGCCTCTTTGCCTCTCTGCCGGTCTGTCTCTCTTCCGTTCTTTCCTTATCTGGCCGCTCTCGGTATTCTACAGTCAATCATTGTACATGCGTTCTTCCCTTTCGAGCCAAAGTGCACCTACCAGCGGGCGTCGTGCTGACGCGGCAGCGTCTTCAGTAGCAGCCAAGGCTTCCAGAAACGCAACTGGTGGTGATGCGAGCGCGGGCTCCAGGTCCCCCGAAATGCCGTCGAGGTCACGGATCTGTTGTGCGTGCAGAGGGTTTTCAAGAAATCAATGTTGGGACACAATACGAGTCAACATCAATCACTGGCGAACGCTGTTCCCAATCCCCTTGCTCAGAGGGCGGGGTCGATCGCACTTGTAAAGGTTTTATGAACTAACGAACGCACGAACGACTGTCCGATTCGACACGGCAGGGAAGTTGGTGGAAATGCACGCGGACGTCCGGGCCGATCGGAGGGAGAATGAAGTACGCTTTGCACACCGGTGTAGCGAAGCAAGGGTGAAGAGCGTGATCAATCACCTTCGGGTGCCTCTGCAATAAATGCATTTCCACCAGAAAGTGATCACATCTTCACGGCTGCTCAACTGCACTGGCGTGAACGGCGCACTTCATTTTCTCTCATAGTGACCTTGTTGTAGCCCCCATCTGGGAGATCTGTCGGTGCGTGCTAAGCATCATGATCTGTTCCTGCAGAAGTAGACTGGCTCTTCAGGCCAAAACCGACCGGGTTGAAGCACGGGTGCGCGTTCTCCAAGCATCAGATGCCGAGGTGGACTAGCGATAAAACGCTCTGGTATGAGGATGGCGTGATGTTTGCCTTACCCGATTGCAGCGCTGTGTACGACTCGACGCCATTCGCATGGTGCGGGTGGGTGGGTAAGGCAGGTATTCCTCTAGCTGAAGAGGAGCTACCAAGGGCTTCGGCGCCGGGAAAATGGCAGTGCTACAAGAAACTTGGAGTGCGGGGCGGAGAAGCTCGTATCTGGAGAACTAACAAGTCGGTCCTTTGCCTTGTTTCCGTTTTGAGTCCAGGCATTACCTAGCTACATATATAGGTGGTCGTGTGGAGAGGGTCAGTACTTGATTCTCGGATACTTTTGTCTCCATTCTCCTTGAAATTGTTTTTTGATCGAGTACAACACTCGGTTCTGAGGTCCATGAGGAAGACGCAGACCAACGTTCGGTCACGGGGTACACTCCGTATCCCGACTCCAAGCAAGCCAAGGGAGCGACAGTTCAGGGGTAAGCCCCAAATCCTGCAGCGATCAACCCAGTGCTAAACCAAGGTAGAGCGGAGGAAACCATGCTTTTCTAGCGCATGGCCGTTTGAGACCATGAGCGCCAGCTATCCTGGTGGATTGTTGATCGCTCTACAACGTTGTTTGCGCGAACATGCCCTGCGTATCTTTCGAATCGGGTCTCTGGTCTGTGCCGAATCCAAAAACAACTCTCGTTAGGTAGCTGTGCACACGATCCAGGTCGAGGCAACATGGTGTATACCAACGGTGGTTCATGTTTGTCTGCTTCTCACCTTCTCGGTGTCGACACCCGTAGGCGCGCTTGGTGCGGGCGCCTGGACGATGGGCTCGTCTCGGACAGTGTTCTCTGGCGTGACTCTGTTGCATGCAACTGAGGATGCCGGCAAGACCTCTCCCGGGCCAAGTGTTGTGTCATCCAAGAGGGTCCTGAATACGGTCAGCGGCGACGTGCGAGCGCAAGGGTGAGGGGCGAGGGGGTCCAGAAGAGGTCAAGGACATGTTGCCACATTGGTTTTTCAGAAGCAGCGTTGGATGCTGCTGAGAGAAAGTGCTCGATATAGCTCCTTCACGAACGAACGCAATCCGATCAGCTTTCCACACTTTGTTCATGCAAGCACGGGCACCGGCGATCCCCAAGGGTACAGGCACAGGCTATGAACACTTGTGTGGTCGTAACCGCGTTCAACCGTTGTCTTATGAAGTGATTCGAGCAGGACACGCCAAACGGAACGCTACGACGACATGCTCGATTTATGGCATGTAGGTACGGGCTGATGCGTGCTAACCGTACATCAGGGAAGTTGCTTTGCACTCCTGCTGCACTAAGGAGGGGCTTACCGCGAAACCCATCGATCGGCGTTGTTCATCACAAAGATGGTCGCAGGCTCAGCACAGAATATTGGCGGCCACTCTACGGATGGATCAGCACTCTGTACTCTCTCTGCAGTTTACCCGAAGTCCAAAAGAGGGGCAGGGTCTGCATGGAGGTGGTATGGATATTGTTCCAAACCACTGGGAGTGTAAAGAATGCCCCGAAAAATGCGAGATGAAACACTGCATATTGTAGTTTCTGCGTGTGGAGGGTGTTGTTTGGTGCACGGGCAGAACCGCGTACCGTGCACAATCATCGGAAATGAATTCAGACGCAGCATCTCACCCCGCGACGTCCACGCTGCTGGGGGCGTCAAATTTCGCGGTGCGGCCGCCATCGGCCGTTACCATCTTGCCGTCGTGGAGTCCTTCACGAGGGTCGCCGTTGGTAGCAGCGTCAGAGGCAGTAACGGGTACCTGGTACCCCGAAGTTCCTACGGGGCGGTCGACATGTCCCGGTCGGGCCTGTTGTGCGTGCAGGGTTTTTTCAAGGCATCGTTGTTGGAACAGGAACCGAGTCAAAAACAATCGCCTTGGCGAACACTGTTCGGAATTACCCTCCTCGGAGGGAGGGGTCGATCGCGCTTGAAAATATTTTCTGAACGAAGAATCTCGGACTGCGAAATTACATACAGCGGTTGAACAGCGCGCACGCCGCGCGTCTAGTCCACACAAAAATACACGGGGCAGGGGGCTTACGGAAAGACACGCGTGCGCGTGAGCTATTTTGGGAGAAAACGCAGGTGTGCTGTGCACACCGGGTTAGCGAAGCAAGGGGGAAGAGTGTGATCAATCACCTCCGGGTGGAACCTTTGCAAAGCATGGGTTTGCACATCATGTTGTTCTATGAGTATAATAACCACTCGAAGGTTATCGCATCTTCACGGCTGCTTGGCTACGCCGTGGCGTGAAGAATAGTGACCTTGTTGTAGCCTCCATCTGGCAAATCAACCTACAGATTGAACTGCTGCTGTGTCCTCGACAGCATGCATAGACTATTCCATCGACGACAATAATGTAGTCTGCTGCTGCCGTAGCGCTGTAGAGGCTGCGCCAAGAAGGGATGTTCGGGGTGTGCATGAAAATATTCCCAAAGACACGCCTTGGGGTCGCAAGGTGATGCCCGCCACCTCTCGGGGGTCACTAAGCCCAGACAACATTCGCACACACAGAGAAACAGCAGCAGCGGCAGCCTCAGCGAAAATGCCAAGCATTATCCGGGGATCCGGTTCATTTCCCCCCACACTCCCCGCCCACTCCAATAGCAGCCAAAACTCCCCTCCCTCCCTACGGGCGCCAATTTTCGATTTGTGGGCATATGCATGATGCGCGTGCGCTGGATGTTCTCCGCACGAAATGGAGGATTGAGGATTTCAACACTCCTGTAGACTACCCGTTCGCGATCTTGTGATGTACTAGTAGGCGCCTTTATATGTCTATCTCCCTCTCTGCCTCGCTTCCCCTCCACCGGTCTCTCTGCATCTTCAGCAGTCTACTTGTCTGTTTGCCCTCCCCTTTTCACCCACCCGCGCGGCTCGCAGTGCTGACGCCAAAGCTTCCTCAGCGGCATCCAGCGCGGCCTCAAAGGCAGAGGAATCTAGCGCTTGAGCCAGGTTGGTGACCATGAACAGCAGCAGGACGATGAGCGCGGCGAAGAAGCCACCGGCACGAGTCATATTGCCTATGCGCAAGGAGATACACTGCTCGATCTCGAAAAATGGGTTCGGTGATGCACAGGCTGGATTCTTGGAGTGGATCAGGCCTTGGCTTGATGACACAAGAAGGGATGAACAGCGGTTGTTGTGTGGGCGCTGTTGCCAAATATGCGGCGGAATCGGCCGTTTCGCCTTCTTTTTTTTTTTACCAGACGGAAAACGCCTGTGCCTTGCACACCCAAGAAGCCAGTGTTGCCGGCATGCTTTGGAACGCCCTGATTGGTCGGTCGCTCTATTATACACTCTGCCCGCTTTGTGTGTCGTCGTGCTGCTCTGCACACGCGTGCTTGATGAGGCGTAGCCACAAGAGGCCGCTGCCGCTGGTGTAGCGCCTCCGCTTTCGTCCCAGTCGAGATGGGCGATGTCTTCGCCCTTTCCTCTCGGGTGCTGCAGCAGTGCTGCTGCTGCTGTGGATCGACCTGCTCAGCCTTGCCGTTGCGGCCAACCACCGCGCCGTTGTCTCTTCTTCAACGAAGTCATGCGGCCGAAGATTCCTCGTTCGAGATGGCGAGACGGCTGCTCCGGACAGCGCGGCAACGGAAGGGCTGTTGCTGTCTCGAGGGAGAGGATTCATGGGCGCCGTCATCATGGTCGATGGATGATCCAGCGGTGATCTTGTTCGCAGGCGGCATCGGCAAGGAATTGATTTTTTTGTCGATTCAAAAACGTTTAGACTTAGACTACGTTTTCGGTGTGCCGCTAGATGTTGATGAAGATGGCGACGACGACGGCGACGACAACGCCATTGGTGGTGCGGGGGCGGAGGCAAAGAAGAAGTGGTGACTGGTGGACAGGGACGTTCTCTCGTGAGTGTCTCGCGTAGGCTGCTTGAGAAATGAATAGCGTCCACTTGCACTCATGATGTGGGTCTGCCGAAAGATGCATGTACGCTGCGTTTGTTCGCTCGTCATGCTTCGATGAATCGGGCCTGCCTGTGTTTGACGGCTGGTGTGCTCACAGAAAAGTGCGCGACACCCAAAGCGGTCGGAGTGTAGCGACTGACCAAAGCAGGGCTTTGAAACTCCAACCATGGGAGTCGGGCTTGTGTTCAGGAATGTCTTCAACTCCTTCGTTGACCAATAATACCACGTTACACCGCTTTTTGTGGCAGGACATCGTTAGGAAACACAAAACACAGAAAGACTACCCATTCGAGATAAGACCAAAGCAGTGTTGCCAGAGGAGCTGCAAACTTTTCCTGCAGCTTTTCTTCCAAACTTCGTCAGTGGACCTTTTGATGCACGCTCTTTGTTTTTTAATATTTTCTAAAGTAGACTAACCATGACCCAACGAATCCATCTCTATCTAGGAAAAGAGTCGAAGATAGATAAGCAATGAATTCATATCGTCAGAGAAAGCTACCTGTATTTCCAAGGTTTCCCGAGCCCCACACAGCGATATCTCCCCTTTGGGTAACAGGCTCAACGGGACAGTTTGGTAGCCGTCTTGTCCATCTATCTGTATGTTATGCTGGGAAGGTCCAGAAGGAAGGTGTTGGGTAGTTGGGAGAAAAAAAGTTTTGTGCACGGGACTGGCGGAATGCGGGCGTGAATTGTTTTTTTCTCAACGGCGAGAAGGAGGCACACGCCTTTTTTTTTGCACCACGAAGAAAACGGTCACAGCGTGTGGGAAAGGGTGGTTGCAACCTTTTTTCTCCATTCTCACAATAACCCAAGGCACCTAACCTGGTACCAGAAAGATGCTGGGTAGAGCTAGCTCCCTCGGGATGGCATTGCTGTTGCTTTTGCCTTCTCCTTCCAAAAGTTATCGCTGGAAAACCAAACCATGCGCAAAATCCCTTCGAGAACTTGAACCAACCGCTCTCTGACGTGGGTTCTTTAGGGTCGATCAAAACTTTTTCCCCCACGGCACCAAACTTTGGGCATTAGAGATGGAGCAGAAAGCTACCTCCAACCAAGCGGCCTTGCTATTGCTGTTGCTTCCTCCTTCGGAAAGTTGTCGGTGGATTACCAAACCCGTGGCGGTCAAACACATCAAACTTGAACTCCGCTCGCGGCCGTTGACGGTTGTACACAAGACAAACTGTTTTTCCCGACGCGTTCAGCACCTCACGGCCCCAAACATTGGCATTTCCCAACAGTCTATGGAATCACCTCCTTCCAGATACCATTCATGAGGCAACTCGTTCAGGATTCGTCGAGGTATCGGTGATCACAGCCTTCCCACAATCGATGCTGAAGAGGGTCTTCGTGTGCGGTAGGGGTAGCAGCTTGACGTGAACCGGTATAATTTTCCGCCGTGCAGCTTTCTCACCCCTTCCCGACTCGAGAAAAACTGTAAAACTTTTCGGCCAGATTGCAGCTTTTCGCTGCGGAACTAAAGTTGCAGAACGTTTAGTGCAACTGTTAGCTCCTATACTGAGCGTACATTAGCAAAGCTGCAAGAAAAGTTGCAGAAATGCAGCTTCTTGTACAACATTGTGCTGCCATAAAAAGCGGTGCTACAACGCTACAACATTTCGCGGCGGGTCGCGGCATCGCCGCAACCCAGTGCAGCAAGCAGCCGGTGGCCGCCGATGTCCTTCGTGTCCTGTAAAGTACCACCTACGAATTACAGATACATGGAGTGCTAAACAACAGAGATGGTACTGAAAAGAGCAGTGATGCTCAAGCCAAACTGATCTCGCCCTCACATGGTCGGTGCTGCATACAAAGCACAAAGGCGCCGCGTGTGTGGGTGCTCTGCTTGCATGTACGTGTTGGTTGTTCCCGCCGAGCTCAAAAGTGGGGTACACAGCAGTAGACTACTACTGCTGTACTACTGCTGTACTGAGAGGTAAATACTTCATTCTGATGTAGCGTTGAAGCTACAGGGCAGTCCACATTGCACTACATGTAGATACCTATGAAGTAGATTACAGACTACAGACTGAACCTTTTCGCCGATAAGAGACGACATGCAACACGGCACATCGCACCTGCCCCCCCCCCCCCCCCCCCCCCCCCCCCCCCCCCCCCCCCCCCCCCCNCCAAACCCTCGTTCAATACGTGTCCATATCCATACACATCTGAATAGAATATTTTTGAAGTTTGAGGGGAAGTTCTTCCATGGAAAGGTCACCACGACAGGCGGTTTAAAAGGTTTAACACAACAACGGTTACCGTAGCAATTCCTTCAGACCAGACTCTACAAGTGCACCCAGGTAAAGCAGAGTGCAAGTGCTTCGGTGTGAATTTGTATTTGTATCTTGGGTCTTCCCTCTACGTACTTTTATGATACATGCACGACGACACCAAGCAAGCACGTTTTCAAGGAGGTGCACCCCCTTTGGGCCCGTGCTGCAGGATCCTTGTTCCTACTGTTGAGGCTTTCTTGCTTCCAGGACCTACAGTGCACACATTACCTCTTGTGCCCTTTGCGCAGATACCTCCGGAGTCAGTCGCGGTTTTTGAACGAGATACCGACAAGCCGTTGACCCTACAGGTATACATGGTGAATTCCAACGAAGGTATCGTAGATGGCAGTAGATGGCACACCCCCTGGACCGATTTTCAACGCTCGAATACTCCACGACGAAGAGAATGCCAAAATCAAAGAAGCGCGTTTTTGGATTTGTCCTGAAATCGTGTGGGCGTAACGCGCTCCTTACCATTTACACATGTTGCATTCCACAGGAGAAGAAGACCCTCCGGCTCGGGACTTCGCGAGTCAGCCAAGGGGCATCACGCAACATGTGTTAAGGCTTCTTTGGTGAACTCCGAACCAGTCTGCTTCATTACGGCGCTTGCCTCGAAGATCCTGCGTGTTAGTGAGAATGGATGGACGGAAAGACAAGAGGGACAGTCACCCCTCGCGACAACCTCTAATTAGGGGTTGTCCGGCGTGCAGCATCAGCGAGGGTGCAGAAGAAAGCATGCAGGTACACTTGATGAAGCATCACTTTAGAATTCCCCGAGTAGCTCGAGCTCCATCGCGTTAGTCGGGCTGAAGCAAGGCTATTCGATGATTTTCCGGTAAGCTCGTGGCTAGATGGTTGATACATTCAACTCAATGTTATTGACGTCCAACGATTGGAACCTAAGCCTTTCCATTGAGGCGAAGTTCATCTGAACATGTCGGTGCAGGTGTGGTTGGTGGAAAGATCGTGCAACGAAGTGCTTCTTCGCTGAAATCGTTCTTCGTCCCGATCTTTCGAACTTCAACTGAGTGAGACTTCAATCTCCCATGCCGTGAACGCCATGTTGTTACACAAGCTTACCCACACCTGCACCAACGTGTTTAGATGAACGTAGCGTAATAGAAGGTTGCAACGGTTGAGAACATTGAGTCAAACAACTCTCAGTATCAACCACCTAACCGCGAGCTGGCCCAAAATTCATTGAATAGCCTATCTTCAGCCCGACTTCTGTGATGGAGCTTGAGATGCTCCGGGTTTTCTAAAGTGATGCTTCATCTAGGCCGGACAACCCCTACTTAGAGATTATGGCGAGGGATGACTGTCCATCTTGTCATTCCGTGCATCCATTCTCATTAACACGCAGGATCTTCGAGGCAAGCGCCGTAGTGATGCAGACTGGCTTGGAGTTCACGAAAGAAGCCTTGCATATATTGGGTGATGCCCCTTGGCTGACTCGCGGCTGGTCTTTTACCCTCTGGTTGGTATTCCTCAGATCGGCAAGAGAGTTTGTTCATTGTGGTTATCGTTGTTGTTGGTGACTGGTCCACATCTCGCTACTACTGTACGTTACCCTTTCCCCAGGGATGGGGAGGACCGGCCAGCACGGAGCGCTCCCCGATTTTCCAACTCGTCCCGAAGTCGTAGTCTCTTGGTTTAAACCTCGTCCTGCATCTTGAACTGACGACTCTTCCCCTTTCCCTTGGCCGTGTTCTCTGTATTTTGCTTGACCCGCAACAAGAACTCACCAGCAAGAACGACGCACTACATGGCGGTAGCCGTCATGCAGCACTGGGGCCACCAGCGGGCACAACATGACCCTCGTGCGGAAGGACTCGAAGGCAGGGTCCGAGTGGTGGCTGTGCAACGACGAGGAGATCCTCTCGGTCTCGTCCGCTTGCGTCAGTCGCAACGCTGTGGCGGTGTTGTACCGCCGGGTGCCGGATTCCTACGTCCCACTTCGATAACGTCAGATTTGATCTCTATCGTGTAGGACGGTAGTTGCGGTGCGGCGGGTACTTAAGTTCCATATTCCATGAAGCGTCAGAAGTACTATCTATGGGAGTCTGGAACGGTAGTTACGGTACCGCTGGAGCTTGTGCAGGGTTCGGAGAGCACCTAACCTGTAGAAGGTGCTGATGTGGACGCTTCTCATTGAGCGTAGCGAGTCTTCGTTGCGGGAAGAGAATCGTTCATGCGTGACGGGGCTATATCCAGTTAGACAGAAACACGGGGTATGATACATAGAGGAGCCCTTTTGGGTTGTCTGACCAACTCCACACCTGGTGTACGCGGGTGGGTTTGTTAACTCCGAACCCTCCCGGCAAAGAAGATATCTCTTCGGTGGTGCTTGGAGATGACGGTGTTTGGGCAGAGGAAAAGTACTAAATTCACACGTGTGGCACGTACAGTTGGTTCGTTTTTGATGAGGGAAGTCACTCGTACGGCTCCTCCCCGTGGTCGTACTTGCTCCGTGGTTTATGTCTGTTTTTGTACTTGCACTTTGTGTAGTTCGCCGATGATAACGAAAACTCCAAAGTTCGTGTCAAAACCTGTGTGTTGGGATCAACCTCTCTTCGCTTTCAACTCCAGCGGCTTTTGCTAGGGGGGTTGAGGGGGGCCCATGGTTTTCTATGGCTTCTTCGTGTTGTTTGTTGTTTGTTCGACCATGAACAAACGTGTTCAGACGCTGGACCCGACGGGCAACCGTGCATAAGGAACTCAGAGACAACATTACATCAGCGGGACGAGTCATAATCTCAATAGGCCACGCCCCTCTTGCAGTCGCCCAAGGGGGGGTCGTGGTGCAGTGGTTTCAATTGAGGATTCAAGTCACGCCTGGCAGAGATGAGCTGGATTGTCGGGATTGTTGAATTTGTTGTGCTCAGTGCAATTCCTCTGGTCACGAGTTAGATGGAGTTTCTCTTGGCGTTGTGAGAAGTTTTGTCGGACAACCGTCCGTGTCATAGCTTAGGTTGTTCTGTGGGCATCATCACGTGCCACTCCGGTTTGATGCAGAGCTGGGAGTATTGGAACGGTTTTCGGATCACTAACCGCCCGCGGGAGTTACTGAGCGCCTTAGCGCTGATTTCCGTGTTGGGTGCAGGCAAACAAAACCTCCCCCCGATGGGCGTACCATCCTTCCGGTGCTACCTGTGGTGGTGATTGACTTTGTCTAGAAAGGCCGTGTTATACGAAGCGTGCCGGGTGTATCTCAAGTATGCTTAGTGTTGTACCGTAGGGCGTCGGTGATGGATGGATGGATGCAGAGCAGCCTCCCTTCCAGAGCACGCGTTGCCTCTTTCCCCTTGTTGCTTGTGTCCGCCTTGTGTCCTAGTTTAATCGGGCGCCAGTCGTACGACACCCAAAGGAGTAGAAGTACCATGTATTTTTTTCGCATAAATTATATCAGCCGGGATCACATAGGTATAAAATTCCTACTGCAATGCTTGCCCGTTTTTTGTGCTTGCATGTTGCTTGACATTTTTTACCGTAAGAAAGGCAGAGCTTTACGTGGGAACGCAGTCGCCCGGTGGGTGGTGGGGTGGTAATGGTAGGGATATGCTGTACCAAAGGCACCGTGTTTTGTCTCGAATGTGTTTGGTATTGTACCCGAAGGCATCGATGATGGATGGTTTATCCTGCCGACCAAGTCGCAGCGGAGCTGCCAAACAAACAGGTGGCATGAGGGGCGTGGGAAAATTCAGTGTTTAGTGTAGCCCCGACGATGGTTGGAACGGGAGTGACTGGGGATCGCGATCGTAGAACACACCTTTTTATCCTCAGAGTCAACGCTTCCAAGAACTCGAATCTCTACGAACCACACGTGGGTTCGTACAAGACCCTTGGAGTGCAAGACAACTGATTTGCTCCTGGTTTACCAATAACTGAAATATTTGTTAAGGTACACCAGCGGTAGATAGTATACCACATGGGTCCAGGTGATTGATTGCCCATGCTCGATGGGGGGGGCGAACGAAGGCATTGGGCCTCGATCGACGCTTCATGTTTCACCAGAGCGATCCCACTATTCTCTAGAAAGGTTGACACAGACACGGAACACCACCGACGGTGGGCGTACACCCTTGATTATGGGAGCTAGGGATAGAATGCTGTCGTGCGACTCATCCTTGTCTGGAACGTACACGTGTCTACAACGAACAGTAAATGTTTATCTTCCCGAACGAGGAGACGCAGCAAACACCGGTGATTTTGGTGTTAGGGCACATTGGTGTTCGGACGTGGTCCAACGCTACGTCGCCACTCGCGCACCTGAAGGGTGTTGGGTTCTCCCCACTTGTCGTGGAGCTCGAAGATCCGGACAAGGATTCGAATCGGAAATGTCATGCGGTAGGTGCATACGAAGAAAATCCCAGCTGCCGCCACGTACACCACCATCACCCAGGCCATCAATGCCGCTGCAGCCGCAAGCACGGCGACCCCGCGTGACGCCCACACCACTGATGCGCTCCATCCACCCGCCTCAGCGATACGGTCAACGATCATCGCAACCAACCCTGCAGTGAATATGGCCATCGCCGCGCGGAATGGGTGCCAACGCGGTGGCTCCGCCCCGCGCCCTGGAGACCTCTGGTGAAAACCGGTCGAGTTTACCCACGTGCCCACGGCAACCATTCCTTTCGTGACTCTGTTCATGACGTCAAGAGTATACGAGCGCATGTAGGCCCCGGAACCTAGCACGACCGACCAGCAGAAGACCTCCCTCCAGCCAGACACAAAGTTCGCCGCAACTTGCTCTGACACCCACCACACCAGCGCCCTCAGGCCATCGACCACAACGATCTTCGCCACAACTGCCACCGCCGCCGGGCGGAGGGTGTGCCAGTGATACGGCCTCGCCGCGCGTCCTTGCGGCAACCGACCCCGAACCCGGCACATCGCCAGCATCGTCATAGAAATGATGTCGTTCGTGACCATCCTCATGACGCCGAGAAAGAGCGGCATCAACGTGCCCACAACCACCCAGCGATAGTCGTACCACCAAGCATTCCACTTAGCCATATCAGATTTTGATATCACTTTCATGTATGGGCTGGACTCATCGATCGGCGTGATCTTGGACGTGGCCGCCAGGATCACCACCGAAAGAGACATCCACGTCTCCTCGACGATAGTGAGCCAGGTCGGGAAGTCCACCGCCCGTGCTCGCGACACTTGGTTCCGAGCAACCGAGAACGCCCGCGTAAGCACCGAAGGCACCCAGTTCTTGATCCTGCTCGTGACGTCTGACCGCAACATTCCGAACGCCGCCAGTGCGACGTAGGTGCAGATGCCCCCGTCCAGGCGGAAGTTGAGCTCACCCAATCACGCTCTGACACCCATGATACCAACGCCCTCAAGCCGTCCACCATGGCGATCTTCGCCACAAGCACCACTCGCCCCACGCCGGAGGAGTGCCAGCGCCTTGGCTCCGCCACGCGCCCGTGCGGCACCCGACCCCGAGCCAGCGACATCGCCAGCATGGCCGCAGCAACCATCTCCATCCCGACTCTGCTCTTGACGGTAAGAACCACCAGCAACAAGCCGACCACAGCAATGCCAAAGTACTTGTATTCCACCCAGGTCAACATGTCCGAGGCAGCAGAAGCGGGTGCTCCAGGCGCTGAATCGCCACGAATCTGAGGTTCGTCATGGGTCGCAACATGGCGAGCTCCGATCCAGCTCGGGGAGGAAGGGCGAGAGAGGCCGTTCGTCATGGCCTCTTCTTCGGGATGATCTCCCTCGGTAGATGCTTCGTCCTGGTTGGGGAGGCGCCGTGACTCCACTTCTGTGCCTTCTGGCCCGTCGTCTTGTCCAGGGCCCTTTTCAGCGGCCGCGTGTGGTGGTAGCACGATCGGTAGGTTCGGGCTGCTTCCGCCGAGAGAGGGGGGGTGGGAGGGGGGTTGGCTTACTGTCGACGGGACCTCGGCTTAGGTTGGACCAGAATCGGATTCAGATTTTATTAACACAGCATCAACCAGGAGCAAAGCCTCAGACACGTTTGTTTGCTGCAGGCTGAAAGAAAAATGCCGCCACAGATACTTCCGAGACTATGTATCTAACATCAGGACCACTCCCAGAGTTCAGGTTCCGTGTCACCTGTCGCCGTTGCCATCGACGATCGGGGCGGTCTGTGCGGAAGCGGACGCCAACACGTCACGTTGATCGCTGCCAGGAGACTTCACGACGAGCAAGTCACTGACGTCCTGGCCATCATCCTCGGAGCACAAGGTAGTCGATCCACCGAGCCTGGTTCAAAAGTTCAAACATTGGCGGCAGTCTGGGTAAGAATCAATGTTGCCTGAGGCAGACGACTTCTTCTCAGACGCCTTCAAGTGGAATTTGTGCCTGAGCTCCATGTTGACCAGACCGGACAAAAGAATAGGACACGTAGGGCTCCGATGCTCAACTCCAACAGACGCCTGGATGAGTGTATCATTACCCATACCGACTGAAAGCTCACCCCGTCTTGATTAAACTGGTCCGTATTGGGGGGAAAACACTCACTTACCCGGGAAGGGCAGGGGGGGAAGACTCGTTGGATTCTTCCCTTCACTGCCGGACCATTGCCATCGCATGCGGTTCTATCCCCAGTTGAGAAATTACCATCAGCCGAACTCTCCACACCTTTTACAGCCAAACAAAAACACATGTATTTTCTTGTCCCTTTCCTTGGTGGTTTAGTATGGCCATATGTTTGAGCTTCGAGGCACATGCGGTCGTTCCCGTTGTATCCTTCTCTGTGCATACCAACAGGGGTTGGGGCTGGGATCAACGTGCAGAGAGGGAACGGAAAGCTGATCCACACGCCAAAGGCCATCAATACTTTGTACTGAGATTCCGATCACGTCTGTAGTCCTAAACTGTCAAGGTTGTCGATGTTCGGGAGGTTGGGTGACTGATACAGCATTTTCGCCTGCTGCTTCGGTATTTAGAGTCGGTCGGAGGCGCAGCACAGAATATGGGCGGCCACAATACCGGTGGATAAGCCCGCGGCACCCTCTTTGCAGTTCACGCGCAGCCCAAAGGGGAGCCGGGGCTGCGTGGAGGTGGTATGAGTCTTCTTCCTTGTCTCCGGGAGCGGAAACAATGTGTCACAGATGCGAGACAAAACACTCGCAACAGTTCTGCTTATGTGCAACAGTCCCCCCATTTTTTGTGGTGAGACGTGTACTACACTCTCAGTATAGTAGATGACTACAGTACACTTTTGTGTTCATTGTTTCCGTTGCGTACAGCTAATTTACAACCATCCAGGGTGACACGGGAGGGAGTAAACACCGGGAAATTGTTTCATTTTCAGACGCCCCACCTTCCTACTGTGGTGCACGCTGAATTTTTGTTTTTAATAGCGAGGAGGGTCCAGCCGTCCCTGTCCCTCGTCAACGGTGCTAACGTCGAAATTTGGTCTCACGAGAGTTTTTCAGCTTTTATTAATTTCTTCCACCTGCACAGTTAAATTTTTTAACCCCATGGGAATACAAACTCACGACTTTGTCAATCTCAAAGTTGACTCTGAATTTGGCGAAAATTGTGTTAATAGCGGTTTCGACATTACCACTAGACCGCCCGGGCGACCGGTTGCAACGCGTCATTTGATTTCTTCTGCACGGTCGGAACCGCCTAGCGATATCATCCACACTTCAACTCAAATGCAGCATCTCACTCCGCGAAATCCACACTGCAAGGCGTATTTTGCGGTGTGGTGGTTTTCGCCCCTTGCCATTCTGTCCTCGTCAAGCCCTTCACCAGGGTCGCCGTTGGTACCGGCACCAGGGGCAGTAGCGGGCACCTGGTCCACCGGATTACGTACATCTTGGACCTGTTGTGCGTGCAGGGATTGTTGAGAACATCGATGTTGGTAGATAACACAAGAACTCGGTTGGTAGGTGTTTGACACATCCATCCATAGAGGGATTTGTGCGGCACCCGAAAAATTGCAACACAACCGAAAATGTCACGTAATTCCGTCCAGACATCGCTACAATATCTGTTCATCTCTCTTTTTCTCTTTCAGCCTCTTTGCCTCTCTGCCGGTCTGTCTCTCGTCCATTCTTTCCTTATCTGGCCGCTCTCGGTATTCTACAGTCAATCATTGTACATGCGCCCTCCCCTTCGAGCCAAAGTGCACCTACCAGCGGGCGGCAGCGTCGTCAGTAGCAGCCAAGGCGTCCAGAAACGCGACTGGTGGTGATGCGAGCGCGGGCTCCAGGTCCCCCGAAATGCCGTCGAGGTCACAGATCTGTTGTGCGTGCATAGGGTTTTCAAGAAATCAATGTTGGGACACAAAACGAGTCAACATCAATCACCGGCGAACTGTCGAAAATCAGAGGCTTAGGGTCTGCTAAGACTGTGTAGTCAAGAACACTTCCCTGGTAGTGTTGCTGGTGTTAGATTGCTTGGTGTGTTCTTTTCAGTTAACGTCAGATCAACGTCAGATCTGCTGAATTGAGGTCCTCAATAAAAACAAGATAATAGGCTGATGACGCACGTCAGAAGTCTATCTGTTCAAAGGACCTGTCCTACGGCGGTAGCAGCAGTGAGCAAGCAAGGTAACAGAATACGCGTGTGCCACACCTTGTTGACAGGTGTGCTGAGGTGCACTGTAGACGTGAGTCTACAACCAAATGACATTTGGTTCAACGAGAAATGAGAAACAGATGTTGTACAAATTTGTTGTATTGTTGAGCTGGGCAGGAAACAGAGTGAGCTCCAGTGAGGGGCGTGCGCTCTGCCTGGTCAGCGTTTTTGTCGATTACCGACGAAACTGCGAAGAACCTCAATATCGGTCCGGAACCGTTCCGAGAACGTTCTGGGAAACAAATACCGTTCTATAAGACCAAAAGCATCGTCCCGGAAACGTTCCGGGAACCTTTCTAATCTTACTCTGGACTTTTACTGAGAACGTTCCTGAGAACCTTTTAGGACAGTATGCCCGATCTAGGAAACATTCTTAGAACCGTTACGGAATCTACCGCATCCATCAGTGGATCGTTCTAGATACATTTCCCGAAATATCGTTCTTCAAGTTGAACTTACTTCCTTAATAGCTTATTATACCGCGTTTAGTGTGTGTTATCGCGCATACTGAAACTGGTATAGTTTTGTGCTACTGAAATCGCTCATGATGTATGTGAATTCGTATACTGTGTTGTACTCAAGAGAATACGAATAACAGCAGTCAGTCTTGATCAGTTGGTACTGATATTTCTAACACGAACGTTGTTCCGAATCCCCTTGGTCAGAGGGCGGGGTCGATCGCGCTTGCAAATATTTTATGAACGATCGAACAAGCAAACGCCTGTCCGATTCACCGCGGGAGGGACGTTGGTGGAAATGCACGCGTGCGTGCAGACCGATTGGAGGGAGTATGAGTACGCTGTGCGCACCGGTGTAGCGACGCAAGGGTGAAGAGCGTGATCATTCCTCTCTTCGGGTGCCTCTGCAATAAATGCATTTCCACGAGCAGGTGTTCACCTCTTCACGGCTGCTCAACTGCACTGGCGTGAACGGCGCAATTCATTTTCTCTCATAGTGACCTTGTTGTAGCCCCGATCTGGGAGATCTGTCAGAGCGTGCACATCATCATGATCTGTCCCGACAGAAGTAGAACCGGCTCTTCAGGCCAAAACGGATCGCGTTCAAGCACGGGTGCGCGTTCTCCAAGCATCAAACGCCGAGGTGGACTAGCGATAAAACGCTCTGGTATGAGGATGGCGTGATGTTTGCCTTACCGGAATGGAGCGTTGTATTCGACTCGACGCCATTCGCATGGTGCGGGTGGGTGGGTAAGGCAGGTATGCCTCTAGCTAAAGAGGAGCTACCAAGGGCTTCGGCGCCGGGACAATGGCAGTGCTACAAGAACTTGGAGTGCGGAGCGGAGAAGCTCTTATCTGGAGAACTAACATGTCGGTCCTTTGCCTTGTTTCCGTTTTGAGTCCAGGCATTACCTAGCTACATATATAGGTGGTCGTGTGGAGAGGGTCAGTACTTGATTCTCGGATACGTTTGTCTCCACTCTCCTTCAAATTGTTTTTTGATCGAGTACAACACTCGGTTCTGAGGTCCATGAGGAAGCCGCAGACCAACGTTCGGTCACGGGGTACTCTCCGTATCCCGACTCCAAGCAAGCCAAGGGAGCGACAGTTCAGGGGTAAGTCCCAAATCCTGCAGCGATCAACCCAGTGCTAAACCAAGGTAGAGCGGAGGAAACCATGCTTTTCTAGCGCATGGCCGTTTGAGACCATGAGCGCCAGCTATCCTGGTGGATTGTTGATCGCTCTACAACGTTGTTTGCGCGAACATGCCCTGCGTATCTTTCGAATCAGGTATCTGGTCTGTGCCGAATCCAAAAACAACTCTCGTTAGGTAGCTTTACGCACGATCCAGGTCGAGGCAACATGGTTTGTACCAACGGTGGTTCATGTTTGTCTGCTTCTCACCTTCTCGGTGTCGACACCCGTAGGCGCGCTTGGTGCGGGCGCTTGGACGATGGGCTCGTCTCGGACAGTGTTCTTTGGGGTGACTCTGTTGCATGCAACCGAGGATACCGGCAAGACCTCTTCCGGGACAGGCGGTGTGTCATCCATGAGGGTCCTGAATACGGTCAGCGGTGACGTACGAGCGCGAGGTTGAGGGGCGAGGGGGACGCCCAGAAAAGGTCAAGGTCATGTTCCCACATCGGTTATTCAGAGGCAGCGTTGGATGCTGCTGAGAGAATGTGTTCGACATAGCTCCTTCACGAACGAACACAATCCGATCAGCTTTCGACACCTTGGTTCATGCAAGCACGGGCACCGGCAATCCCTAAGTGTACAGGCTGTGAACACTCTAACACGATGTAGTCGTAACCGCGTTCAATCGCTGGCCTTCGAATTTGTTCGAGCAGGACACACGGAACGCTACGATTACATGCTTGATGAATTTGCACACACTGTAGGTACCGGCTGACGCGTGCTATTCGTACTTCAGGGAAGGTACTCTGCACTCCTGCTGCACTAAGGCGGGGCTCACCACTAAACCCATCGATCCGCATCGTTCAGCATAGAGTTGGTCGGAGGCTTAGCACAGAGTATTTTCGGCCACACTGCGGGTGGAGCAGCATTCTGTACTTTCTCTGCAGTTTGCCCGAAGCCCAAAAGAGAGGCAGGACCTGCATGGAGGTGGTATGGATATTATTCCTAGCTACCTGAATCGTAATGAACGCCCCGCAAAAAGCGAGACGAAACACTGCATGGTTTCTGCGTACTGAGGGAGTTATTTGGTGCACGGGCAAACCGCCTAGCGTGCAAAATCAAGGAACTCGAACTCAAACGCTCTATCTCACCCGGCGTCGTCTTCGCTGCAGGGGGCGTCATGT